TATGTCACACTTTCATGTTCTGTTGTTCTTTATGCTTGTTTATATGATTGGATCTTCAAATTCTTTATACTTTCTTTTGTTATTTTTACCATTCCTTTAGAGTGTGTTTGAGTTTCCATCAAGTTCTTGTTGTTTCAATTCCTAGTTTGATTCCTAATGCAACCGTCTGATCATATCCACTGTGAACTTTTATGTTTCTACAGCTTCTTTCTTCTGTTTCCTTGGTAAAGAAAATAAGAAATAACAAAGAAGATTGAGTATATTTGGTTTTTATATTTGGATTTACTACTATTTATTATTGGATTGAAGAATAGTTATTGATTGTATTCCCATGATGAAATGTATTTGTTTTTATCTGTTGCTTATTGGCCTTTTGCTGCTCTCCTCGCATGTCATGAACCTATATTTCGTGCAATATTTCTTCCAACTTATACGTATTCTTTAGGGATATACTAATTTCTATTCACATTTGTACTGTTTCTAACCTTGGATGAGAAACATCATGTAGTTCTGTATCTATGCTGTGTCACATTCAACTCCACTTCTATATTGCATGAACGTGGTTACCTCTGTAACTTATTTGGAGAAAACAAGTATTAGAACCGTTTCATATACAAATTCACTAACTGATATCAATATACTTTATCAGTATAATGAAATCTAAAATTTTAATTTTGATGTAAATTATAACTGTGGCAGCCTGTAAGAAAACGCTAACTTTCCCATATTGATTCTCTAATTCCACCAGATACTTTACAATACCATCTATAAATACAAGGGTTTTAGTATGTGAATCATGTCTTCTACTTCTGATAACAAGATCTGTGTAATGCCAGTAAATACTTGCACCAAGTTTTGGAAGATTGCATTTTTAGCCGAACTATATCTTGTTCGGGAAAATCGCCTTTAATTAAGCAAATACTGAATCACCTAAAAGCATCATTCCAAAGAGTAGACTAGAAATTCTTCGAACAAAGGAACTTGAGCATCGCTTACATTTGATTAAATCATTCTTTTCATGGTCCACCCCAGCATCATGGAACTTGTTTTTTCCAGCAAATCTCATTCAATTTGTCGAAGTATCAATTCAGATTGTTAGAATTTAGGGTGGTTGAATTCTAAAATCAAGGGTTTGAACTATTATTAATGGTTTGAATTGTCCTCGTACGTTCTTCTGCTGCTGTGTTAGCTTCGTTTTTGGATGACACTAAAGTGAGCATGCCTGCAGCTTGTGCTTTTTGGTTATAATAGCATCCGAGACCTACTTTGTTGGCTACTGGTTGCTCTTCACTTTTTCATGTTATGGACTTTTTTTTATTATTAGTTTTTACACCACCATCTTGTTTCCATTTTCATCTTTTTTATCCGTTCCAATTCCAATGTCGTTGTCACTCTATTGTTGTCGTTTTTAATTCTGTCATCAGTTCCCTGTTGTATTGTTGTTTTCAAGTGATGTAGTTAATTTCACCGAATTTTGTATCGTGTAGCCTGCCTGATTGTTTTATCAGGTAAAAAGTAAACAAATCCCATCTTCTCCTCCCTGTAAATATATAAGTTACAACCATTTTCTTTTATATTCTCTTATTTTTGTTGGAGGGGTGGGGAGACAAGTACGTGAGAAGGTATAGAATAAACTTTAATACTTAGTGGACAGTGGACACTACTCTGATATAGACATCAATTTTACAGTCATACCTTCAATAATAATACATACAAGACAATGACAACAATCAGGAGGATACGACACAAAGATGGTCCATTGTTGGCACCTAGCAGCAAAAACGTATCCTAATGGCTTTTTCTAATCATTTAAAAGAGTAGCTATCAATGAGCACGAGATTCTGTTCATGTTTTGGACATTGCATGAGATTCTGAGAACCAAAGACCAACACCGGGTCCTTTTTCCGAGCAAGTCTCTGAAAGTCAAAGATTACTCGCATAGCAAAGGGATATGATATGCCCATTATTATTGCTCTCTGTTTTGAGCTATTTCATTGATGAAATGACACTAAACAAAGAATGTAAGCGACTCCTGCATTGTTGATTTTCTAGGGGAAAAACTATTACTTCGACTCGCAATATGAAATAATTTTCACACAGAATTTAGATAAAGGTCTGATTGAACAGAAAAGAGCAAAACTTGGTCCAGAAGCTTACAGGAAAAATCACCAAATCCGACTATCTAATTAAGGAAGCTAAAATCACTATAAGAAACTAATGGAAAACGCTTCTGGGTTGACAAGAGATGAAATCAATAGACCTATAACCGCCACGATCATTGCCCAAACTGCAATTGCTGGGGGTAAGCAAGTAACCATCTGAGTATTGGAACGAGTGCAGTCAAAGCTAGTTGAAGCTGTTCTGAACTGTTTAAGCGAATGCTAACTTGTCCAGCTCCTCTGTTGTTCAAATTTGCACGAGCAACTAAGTTTGTGTGGCGTCCAACTGGAATCTGAGACTGTATATTGCATCCTATAGCAAGATCACCATGCCAATCCATGACAGAAAACCCAAGAGTTGATAGTGAGCGACCCAGCGGATAATCTTTATCTCTCAACTGTGCCTCAAGGCTGCCGCCATAAGCAACATCACCGCGGCCGGTCATTGCGCCACCAGTCATAACCACCTGAAACCGTTTATTGGCGATCAACTTGTCTTCCACTTTAACTCCAGCTGATAATGAATCTCCCAGGACTGTAACACTGATACCGGCAGTTGCCTTGTTCTTCCTAAAATTACTAAACCTCGTCTCGCTCCGCAGAGTATAAGAGATGTCTTTCCCAACAGTCTGCATATCAAATCCTAATGAAGTTGCTTTGCCTTCACCATGCTTTATTGAGCTCGCCACTTCCATTTGGAGATGGGCATCCTTCTTATCCTTAGAAACCTGGCCAGTAAAAGATAGAGGTATTTTGTTTTTAACCGCAAACATTCTCTCCACATTTATTCCTTCATAACCAACATCATGATCCCAGCCATGAGTTTCTAGGACAGGCCTCACAAGCCACTGGTTGGAAGAGTCGAGATAACGATACCGGTGGG